AAAAAAGGCGCAAAACCCCCAGTTTTTTACACTTTTTTACACTTTTGACTTCCAAATGTGCTTCGCGCCACAACGGCGTGCACTTTTTCGACATCACAACTTCCAAAAGTGGTCCGGAGCTGCGGTGTTTTGTACATTTTGACTTGGAAATGTGCTTCGCGCCACAACGGCGTGCACTTTTTCGACATCATAACTTCCAAAAGTGGTCCGACGCTGAAGTGTTTTGTACATTTTGACTTGGAAATGTGCTTCGCGCCACAACGGCGTGCAATTTTTCATCGTTCCTGTGGCCAGCTGGCTCCGCACCCGCCGCTTTAGCGAGCCTACTTTTCGACCCTCCGGAGCCACACATCATTGGAAAAACACAGTGTTTCGCGACTTTCCTACCTTTTCGCGCATCGGTATCTTCTGTCCTCTTACTCTTTCTCTTCTGATCTTCTCTCTTCTAATCTTCCTCTTCTCTCTGCCTCTGCCCTGCTCTGCTTTTCATCTGTCCATATTGTCGGAAGTTTGACTTCTAAACTTCCTTCGACTATTGTCTTTTGCAGCTGGACTTCGTAAATCGTATTGGAGTGGCTGCATGAAGGCTGCGACAGTGATTTGTCAGCAGATTTTCTCCATTTTGGCGCTAGTGATTTTCCTTCTAAAAATCCTTTTAAAAAGTGCTTCAAAATCGTCTTTTTTTTGCTCTGGCGTCGAGGTTTTGGAGCTACAATTTCTGACGCCGTTGCGCGTAGTTCTATTGTGTTTTGCAACTCAGTCTCTGCAGATCGCATTGTAATGGCTGCGTCAAGGTTGCTTCGTGCTGTGGCTGCATTGGTAATACTATTGTCTTTTGCAGCTGGATCTCGTAAATCGTCTTGGACTGGCTGCATGAAGGCTGCGAAATGGATTTGTTAGCAGATTTTCTCCATTTTGGCGCTAGTGTTTTTTTGTTGCACGTAGGTTTAGAGCAGTGTGAAGTGTGGGGCGTGAAGAGTGCAGTGTGAAGTGTGAAGTGTGAAGGAAGCAGTGGGAAGTGAAAAGTGTGAAGTGTGGAGTGTGAAGTGTGGAGTGTGAAGTTTCAGTTTGGAGTGCGAAGAGCGCAGTGTGAAGTGTGAAGTGTGAAGTGTGAGGTTTGGAGTGTGAAGGAAGCAGTGAGAAGTGTGAAGTGTGGACTGTGAAGTGTGAAGTGGGAGTGAAGTGTGGAGTGTGAAGTGTGAAGTGATGAAGTTTCAGTTGGAGGCGAAGAGCGCATGTGAAATGTTTTGGAGTGTGCAGGAAGCATGAGAAGTGAGAGTGTGAAGTGTGGACTGCTGAAGTGTGGAGTGTGAAGTTAGTTTGGAGTGCGAAGATGCGCGTGTGAAAGTGTGAAGTGTGAAGTTTGGAGTGTGAAGGAAGCAGTGAGAAGTGATAAGTGAGAGTGTGTGGACTGTGATGTGAGTGAGAAGTGTGAAGTGTGAAGTGTGAAGTTTGGAGTGCGAAGAGTGCAGTGTGAAGTGTGGAGTGTGGAGTGTGAAGACTTTGCTTCGTCTCTCGCTGAAAAAATCAAACGGTTGTCGAGGGAAGGACACGGTCGGGACAGGGTGTCTTTGAACTATAGGTCATTTATGTTTGGGAAACTTCCGCCGCCGGCTTGCCCGGGTCTATGTGAATAAGAAGAGAAGACTTGCTTGAGCGAGAGAGGAGCACCAGTCAGGATATGGCAAAAGCGACCTAAACGTGGAGAAGAAGAGACGGGCCCTGTCAGAGGGTGCGGAACGCCGAGAACTGCTCATGGACTACAGTGCCTTTGGCAAACCGACCATTTTTGCTTCTGGAGTTGGTATTGACTGGCAGCTGTGAGATGGTACTAGTCACCGTCTTTAGAGCTCGGCCATGGTTGGATGGATGTCTTTGTGGAAGCCATGGCCATGGTTCAAGCTGATTTGATCCCTTCAAGGACTAGATTACCGATATGTTTTACTTTTCTCGTTCCCATTTGCCCAAGGTTACGTGAAATCCGAACAGGATAAGACCAGGCGAGAGCAAATTACAATGTTGGAAGAGCAGCTGCTTGGCATTTTTTTTTGTGCGTGTCCAGCAGTTACAAGCACTTCCTTGCCTGTCGTACCTTTCTATAATAACATTTTACGTTTAGCCTTCGGTTCCGTTCATGTTCCAAGGCTTGCCGACGAGTTGGCCAAAAGAAAAGCAGAGAAGTTGCGGTACGAGTTTCTCTGTGGCAGAGTGTGCCGTTTGGGCCCAGTTTCTCTCTATCCTAATCTTTGGCCCCGCGCAGGCCAGTCAGGTGGCCCTGTTTTTCTCCCTTCACCTGTTCAGCCTTGCGTTGGCCAAGGATGGACAAACGACGCATCTGCGATGGATCTGACGAACTGAGGGCGCTGAAGGAACGGCTACACATGGCTAAAGTCAACAAGGACTCCATGTCGTGCACTGATCACGTGCTAAGGATGTGCTTAGCATACAGAGCATTACAGAACATGAAGCTCTTGCCAGGAGCGTGCCCAACAACTGCTCGAGATAGAGGTTCGATGATGTTGGATGATGTTCGATAAGGAGGTGAGAGTGGAGCAAGCGTGCGCGCACAGACACATGTCCGAAATTAAGACATCTCTGCTTGATAGTTCAGGTGCAAAAAGAAAAGAAACGCCTGGCCGAACATTCAATGGCAGAGCACATGGAGAATGAAAGGCTAGAGCAACAGGAGTGGCAAACTTGAAACTTGAAACATTCTTGAAACCATAGCATGGCGTCAAAATCAGCATGAGCACTCAGTAACGTTACATAGACATAGACATAGACATAGACTGCTTTAGCCCGAAGTGTCCAGGAGTTGGAGCACAAACTTGACATTGAAAAGCGAAAGCAACGGGAGCGGGTGAAAGTTATCAACCAGCAGCAAATTGCCATGAAGGAGGTGCAGTTGCAGTTGCCATCGTGCGGCTGCACTCGCAGCATTCTTGAAATATCTTGAAATTATGTGAATTTGCGGTTCTTGCCCCGGGACAGGCGCAGTGTGAACAGGCCTTGAAAGAATACGAAAAGGACGACAGTGCATGTAGTGTCCAAAGCGCGTTTGCCCACAAAATTTGGTAGGTCGCGAATAGGATTGGCCACAAGCATGCAGTGTCGCATGTCGTAGCTATAAACATGTCAAAGACATGACCAGATACTGGCCTGTTGAAGGACCGAAAGCAAGTAGAATCCCTTGTGGCAAAGATTGCTGAAGAAGATGAAAAGGAAGCAAAGGCTCGAGCAGAGAAACAAATGGAGCAACTTGTCTCACCAAGCTAGGTAGCATGTCGAGGCAATTTGTGCGGTGAAGTAACAGTGAAGCATTTGCATTGTTTGGAAATGTTTGGAATGAATCTGGTTCCTGCTGTGGCCGTTTCTCGCTGAGACAAGGTCCCGTGTAATGCTGCAAAAGTTCATGCTGGAGCAGAATCTGGGATGCAGTTTTCTCATTCTGAAAGTGATGCTGCGATGCTGTTGAGTGCCGAATCCTGGTGGAGGCACCAGAAACTTAACTCGAGTTGCACTTGCCGAAACACCCGGATATATTGTTTCGATATACGTATTGAGTATTATATATAATTATATATAATGATATGTACACACACGCACATATATATATATACATATATATCATAGTGCTATTGATGGATACGCATTATTTATATTGAACTATATTAAAATTATATATATATATATACAGAGGTAGATAGATAGATAGATAGACAGATAGATAGATAGATAGATAGATAGATAGATATATAGATACATAGATATGTAGATACATAGATAGGTAGGTAGGTAGATAGATATATGTATATATAAATATATATGCTATACAGCTATACATATATGATGATCTGCCACTTATTTGTTTATTCATCTATTTGACGTTACTATTTCATTTGCATACGTTATGTGTATTTAATCATATGCACATTAGTTAATGCATTCTCTACATGAACCTTCCCTCTTGAAGATATGTACAGAAATTCAACGTTGTTGGGCCGGTTCAATGCATATAGATTTGCCGTCCGCCCGATATAAGGAAGGCGAATCAAGAGAAGATCGAGGCAGAGGAAAAAGCTGAGAATGATCGCATTGAGCAGTACGCCCGTGACAAGCGCGAACGCGAGGCAGAAACCATTGAAACCATTGCATGTAGTGGTGGCTTTTGTTGCACCAAGCTGTATGTTACACCAAACTGTATGTTGCCCAAGGAGAGGCTAGAAAAGGAACGGCAAGAACAAGAAAAGGCCAGGCGACCACTGTGCATCATGTGGCTTCAGACTCTTCAGACTCTTTAGACTCTTAGATATAAGGATGACAAGTCAATGGTTACGTCCATGATAACACTGCAGGAGAAGACCCGCATTCTCAACGCAATGTTGGGCAAGATGGAGGCTTGGGCCCATGCTGCTCATGCTCCCATTTTATCTTGACAGGATGAGTTCCCTCTTCTCCAATCTGGTATCACTGTCACAGGCCAAAAACAAAGAAGCGGAGGAGTGTGATTGGATCCACTCCATTCCAGCAACGAATGGTTTTTGGAAATTTTGATTGGTCGAGTGTCGCTTATTGCCGGTGCACAGGCAGAATGACGTTAAACATGGACAAATCCGGCGCTTTATCAAATGAATTCCACTGATGAGCTAGCAGTTCGCCCTTTGTTTCCTGCAACTTAATATGCTTACCGTGCCTAGCAAATGGTGGCTGTCATGGCTGGTTTTATAGTCAAGACGGTGGGCTGGCAAAACCACTGCCAAAAGCGAGCCCCCAGGCTTCAACATCCTTCGTAGGGTCGGTCTTGAAGCAGGTCATAAACGGAATCCCATCGGTTTGCATTCCTTTGGGGTATAAACATTTTGGGTTTGTCCTTTCTCCTCCCGCCCTGGGGCCATTCGCAGAGTGGACTCGATTTGTTTTTGCGAATGCTTGGCAGTGGAAACAGGATGACGTTTGTGGTTCGAGTACAATAGCTCCGAGCTCCTTCCACAAGGATATGCTAGCGTAAATAAGAAGATAAATCAAACATATATAATATAATTCAATTCAATTCAATTCAATTCAAATAATCAAGTTAAGTCTCGTAGTGGGGCGTCCTCAGTGCCGCCGACACGGTACGTGAGGAGTTGGAGCTCCTCAGGAACGAGCTCCACTTTGAAGAACTGGAAGCTCAGGCTCGAAGACTCGATGAGATGCGGATCCTTGGCGTCACTGAAACTACTGGCAGGAACAGTTGGCAAAGGATGGCACAGGATGGCAAAGGGATCCTCAACTATCATAGCTTCATAAATTTCATAACTATCTTGATTCACTTGTTGGGCAACACCAGTTGTTTGCCTTACTCCTGCATCTTTACATAGCAATCTGCACAGCATCCATGGCACCAACAACATGAATAGAGCTGGTGTGAAACGAACGCACAAGTTGCAGAAGTCAAGTCGACAGCAAATTCAAGGATGCGAAAGAAACTGGAAGATCGAGAGGACACCTTTCAACTTCCCCGCAAATTCAACAAAATCAAAGGAAGCTGCGTGGATCTTGTGCCCAGTGTGCCTACTGCATTGATTCAAACGACAGGAGATGAAGAATGCTTATCTCCTCCAAATGCGCGCTAAAGAAGAGAAAATGCTTCGTGCACGTGAAGATGAGGCTACTGAGACAGCTGTTGACTGCTGTTCTGGTCGTTCACACTCCAATCTGCCGCCACAGCACGGGCAAGGCTAAAATGCGGGAAGAATTGATGAAGAAGTTTGCTGAAGACGACCGCCTGGAGCAGCTTAATGAGCACAAGCGAAGACTGAAGGTTGGCTCTGGTGATTTTGGTTCACTCCACTTGATAGAACACTTGCATTTTGAGTTTGTGGCCTTGTGTTGGTTCAACTGGTGTGGTATTGTCCCGTGGTATTGTCCTGTGGTTTTCATGCAGCTTTGCTCAAAGTGCTTCTGAATTCCGAGGATGCAGACCCGTTTTGCCATGTTTTAGAATGTCTTGGTTAAAAGTGCTTGGCACGGGATGTGAGTCAAGGGCACCTAGCTATCAAAGCTGACTATACAGTGCAGGTCGAGCAGCACAAACGGGAGGCTGATCGCCTCATGGAACTGCGACGCGAAATGTGACCTTGTCCCGATGGTCCTGCTTCGGCTTCGGTTCATGAACCACATTTGGTCACGTGGTTTTACGAAATCTTACTGCATTATTCATCAGACATCGCAGACATCGCAGACATCGCAGACGTTGCAGTGCCACGCGAGGTACGAACTTGCCAGGGCCAAGGAGCGTGACGATGAAGCGGCACTTCGCAAGGACGAGGACAAGAGGAGGATCATCATTGAAGAAGAGAGGCGAAGGCGGTCAATTTACAGTGAAATTAATTCACAGCCATTTCCTTTCAGCAAGCTTCCTTGGAGCAATTGCTTGACGTTTGACACGTTGCAGTTGACAGCTCCAGCTGGCCACTGCATTTTCCTTGTAAGGCTGCTTCGGGAACACGGGCGTGAGCTCAAGAAATTCCTGTCACTTGCTGAGATTTGGGTCACATTCTGCCGGGGCGCAGGGTGTTTTTGCCTGTGGCAGTTTCATAGGTCTAAACTGTTGGAATCGCTTTCGCAACCGCAGCCAACAAAATGACAAATCACACGGGCTGAACCAAGTTGTGACCCGCCTATTTTGACCATGAGACCGACCCAAAGCACACAGCATCACACAGAATCGCTTGCGGGGTCATATGATGAGCACTATGTTGAGATACATCAATTCAATAAATGTGTCTTCAGTTCCCTTGAGTATCCTGAATTGGGAAGATCCATGTTGGTGGTGTTTCCTCTGGTTCCTCATTCTGTGCCACTTGCTCTTTCCACCTGGAAGATTTTCAGTTGAGATATGTGCGATCACAAAGAGTCAAGGCCGAAGCACACGCTCGAATCCGTGGAGGTCAGAGACAGCCCGCACGTCCCGGCAAATCGTTCTTTTGTTCAATCCTCTTTGCTTACTAGGGACTCTTGCATCTCACTGTTTGCGACCATGTTGATCATTGCAGGTTTTGTTTCTGCTATTTCCTGTAATCATGGAATTCCACAGGTGACGGGCATCAATTTATGATGATCACTCGTGTAAGCCTTTGCATGCTTCAGGACTACCATTTGCTCTTCTCTGAAGCGGATTAGAAATCAGGCAGCTTGACATCAGAAGGTTCGCAGCTGTGAGAGCCTGTGAGAGCAAGACAAAATGGTGTCAGTTTCCCAGAGCAGGAGGCTGTGTACTGCCGTAGTGATTAGGAGGTGATGCAGACCCTGCATGCATTGCAAAGTGCTTGATGCATGTGGCGCAAAAATGGTGCCAAACAGGTCAAGTCTCACACAGACCAAAGGCATGTTTCCTGCGCTCAGCGCGGAGGCAGAAGTGCCAAGTAGAATTTGGGCACACCGCATGAAATCCCCCACGGGCAAAGTAACGAAAGCATCACCCCTTTCCCAGAACCTCACGGACTTGTCACTGCGGATGTGTCAAACGTTAAGTTGCTGAAATGACGTGCATGCAGAAGAAAGCTGAAAATAGGACTGGCCGCACCCCTGTCAATCAAGAAGGATCAAGTTTTTACTCGGAATGACTGGTTCTGGATGTGCAAATGTGCATGAAGGATCATGAAGGCATGAAGTGACATCAAGCGAAGTTGCCATGACGTCTTTTATGCTTTCTCCTGCTTTGTTTTGGCCCAAGTCCTCACTGCACCAAATCAGAGTCCCCTATCTTCACTGCCAGGCGCCACCAACAGGCTTGAGGGTGTGGGTGCAAGGGCTAATGCAGCGCTTTTTTTGTTTGGTGCTGGCACTATCAAGCACGGCTTGCCTGCATACAATCATGTCATAACTGTGTCATAGCCTAGACCCATCTCAACCCGCTGTTGACATGGTGCTTGGAAATTTTGCACCCTGCAGTTGCAATCCGGTTTTGCGCAGCCGTCACTATCGTATGCAGGCTGCGTCTGTGTCTTAAGAGTCTTACATTCGTAATGTTGAAGAACGAGATGCAAAACGGCCTGTTGCAATGGGGCAACGGGTGCCACCGGCAGGTGGTCCCTTGGATGACGCAGCTGCCAGTGAAGAATACATTCATCGAGGCCCGTGACGGCCAGTCCAAACAGGATCAGATGAAAGGACAAGGCATTGAGATCATGGAGGCATTTGCTGATCCAGTTGAGCTATTGGACACGGGCCACCAGATTTGCACAGGTGGCTGCCAAGAGGAATCTATGTCTATGTCTATGTGCTGTTTTCAAATATGGTGTATGTATATATACATATATATTATGTTCAACCCAACATTGTGTCATGTGCTGCCACCATCTGCCACCCAGATATGCAGATATGGACTGATATGGATCTCAAGCGTTGCAGGTGAGGACGCACGATCCGATCATCGTGCGACCTCGAGCACAGACTGCAGAAGTCGTACCAAGCTCATCCTACTTGGCCAGTGGCCTCCTCAGAGGGATTTGCAAATGCAGAAAACCACATGTCTTTTTCCATACCATGTTAGAGATCCAGGATCCCGTCTGGATTCCGCTTTCCTCAACATTTTTGCCGTGAATTTCAATGGATTCCCAGGCTCAGTGGAGATTGCCCCTGCCATTGCCCCTACCCTTGCTCCTGCCCCCGTCCCTGTCACTGGTGCTCCGGGCCGCAATTCTTGACACGGTTGACACGGTTGACACGTCGCTTTTCCTGGCAGTTTTTTCATGTGCCACTTGTGATCCGCAAGGCGTGCCAGCGGTCACTGTGGACTCCAAAGTCCGGGCAGCTCCAGGCACCTCGCGCAGCACACCTCTTAAGTGCAAGCAGTTGATGAACATTATGGTTGATGGATGATGGATGATGACAGATGATGTTGATGATTGATGATGATGAATGATGGATGATGGATGATGGACGGTAGATGATGGATGTTGGATGATGGTTGATGACAATGGTTGATGATGATGGTTGATGTTGATGTTGATGTTGTTGTCGTTGTCGTTGTCGTTGTCGTTGTCGTTGTTGTTGTTGCTGATGATGATGGTGATGATGGTTGATGATGATGGTTGATGATGATGGTGATGATGATGATGATTATGATGATGTTGATGATGGTGATGATGTTGAGGATGATGGGTGATGGATGGTGGATGGTGGTCGGAGATGTTGTTGTTCTTGTTGTTGTTGTTGCTGATGATGATGATGATGATGGTTGGTGATGATGGAAGGGTGGTGATGGTGATGGTTCTTGAGAATGATGATGTTGATGGTTCTTGAGAATGATGATGTTGATGATGATGATGATGGTTCTTGAGCATGATGATGATGACGATGACGGTTGGTGGTTGATGTTGATGATGATGATGATGGTTGATGGTTGATGGTTGATGGTTGATGGTTGGTTGTTGATGGTTGGTGATGATGATGATGATGATGATGGTGATGATGATGATGATGGTGATGATTGAAGCCGTGGATGATGACGATGGTGATGATGGTGATGATGATGATTATGATGATGATGATGGTGATTATGGTGATGATGGTGATGATGGTGATGATGATGATGATGATGATGGTGATGGTTCTTGATGATGATGATGATGATGATGGTTCTTGATGATGATGATGATGATGATGGTTGATGGTTGATGGTTGATGGTTGATGGTTGGTTGTTGATGGTTGGTGATGATGATGATGATGATGGGGATGATGATGATGATGATGGTGATGATTGAAGCCGTGGATGATGACGATGGTGATGATGATGATGATGATGGTGATTATGGTGATGATGGTGATGATGGTGATGATGATGATGATGATGATGATGGTGATGGTTCTTGATGATGATGATGATGATGATGATGATGGTTCTTGATGATGATGATGATGATGATGATTGATGATGGTTGATGTGATTTGCCCGGTTTGTGGCTGTGAGATTCCTGGCTTTATGACGATAGTAATGATTCATGTTTGTCATTTTGCGTCTTTTTTTGTTCACAGGTTCTGCCGCATGCATTGTGTCCAGTGTTGATTCGACGGGTAGGTGGGTCCGGCCAGACCATTTGTACATCAATAGTTGGGAACTCTTGTTGAAGTTAAAGAGGAGTCAGAACAATGACCAAAACAGTGACGGATCAAAAAGGTAACAAACACCCAAAAATGGTGCAAAGAGGGCGGTACACCTTGGTATGATGTGTTTGGCTGGAGTTCATGCACGTGATCAATCACGAACAAACGATCTGGAACAGTCGACCGCTGATACATCACGGTCAATGGTGATAGTTTGAAGTTTGCAATGAGTCAATGTGCAAATGCCAGCCAAATGACAATGTTTTGGCCGGAACAAAGCAGCAAACAGGAAGACGAATTGATATTTGAGTCTTGAAGATAATTGAATTCATCAACGGTTGTCTTGAGAAAATATTGCATTTGTGTGACACGTGCCAGGAGGTGCTCCGTCGCAAGAACTCCAGATGTCTCGCTGGCGAAGTTGACTCGATCCAAGGTTGTACCTGTCGAAGAGGATATGCTGTAGATACTGTGGATGGATGGATGGATGGAGGGAGGGAGAGAGGGAGGGAGGGATGGATGACCGATTGGTCGATGGGTAGATCAATCAGCAGCATTGTGCGAGGCACTTGTTCAAGTATCTGCTCCAATTGAGTGGGTCTCACACTGGCCAGGTCTTGTATGCGCGCACACCGGTGGGGTCCATTGTTGCCGAGCCACCTTTTGCTTTTGCTTTGCCACAGGCCAGTTTGACTCTGGGCATTTCTCAGCTGACAGTCTGACAGCGTCCTAAAATCATGGCAAGAAGGCGATGGATGACCATGGGAGGCGCAGGTGCCCTGTGAGTTTTGATCTTTGGGATTGAGGGAGGCGAGTTGACTGAGACACTCCAACCATTTGCCACCTTGGTGGCTCCAGGACCAGCACTTTTGGTACAGAAGCGGCAAGAGTGCAAACTGGTGCCAGTCTTATCTTGATGTTTGGATTGTTTGGTCATGATGTTTCCATTTCTTGTTCGTGGTGCCGTGGCAGTTTCGTGATGTCTCTGCGTGAGTGACCTGAGGACACTCCTCGGCAACGCGCAGAAGCTCTTTGGAGACTATCCCCGCAACGAATAGAGCTCAATGGGATGATCAGCAATGATATCCACAGATATCCACAGTATGTTGTAAACAGAGTCAGACTCAGAGTTCTGGAAGATTGATTGTTGACCAGACCATACCAACCAACCAGGTGGGGAAGGTATATAAATTTTGCTTTTCTGCACTTGGGTTTGTGATTACAGAAGGCGCTTGTGAATTTTCAGGTAGCTTCCAGTTTGTGTTCTTTTGCAACGTGTCCTTTGGCTACATTTAATTTAAGGCCGGACTTCCACTATAGCTGGCCTCCACCGTATGCACCTCCACCTGTATCAGCCTGAGTTTCTTTTGGATGCTGGAGGAAACGCACCCATCACCAGATGGATAATTAGTGTGGCCAAGGTGGTCATGGCAGGCGCTGTCCCTGAAGGTTCGACTCAGGCGCTGTTTGGTTCGACCCGTGGGGTTTTCATGAGCATTAGTTTCGGTTGATCTCCCGTTGCTTTTGAAAGAATTCAGAACTATACTGAGAAGTAAACAATTGCACTTTGGCATTGCAACATCGTTAACCATTTGTGCCTCGATTGGCCACAGGCTGCCCCAACTATGCCTCAACTGGCGCATGGCATGCCGATTCTTCAGTGTCCACCATCCCAGTGCCAGATCCAAATGCCCTTGCAATCAGCACATCCAGACTCGGCGTACAAACAGGTGGCTCAAACAGTGAGCGCCCAATACCCGTCCCTGGCACATCAATTTGCCCATCCGCCAGTCCCACTGGGAAGCAGCGTGCCTTTGCCAACACAGTGGGATGCACCAATGCAATTCATCCCCCAGAGCCTCCCTCCGCAGATTGGGCAAGAACTTCCTGGAAAGCCTTTGCACAAGGCGACCGGGTGGCAACCACAGCCTGGTAAATTCCAGCCAGGACCTGTTCCTCAACAGGTCCTCGTTTTGTCCAACTTCTTGCAGGAGGCGTGGAGCTGTCAGGGTCTCCTGGTTTTGGTCCGCATCTTGACTGCATGTTTTGGGAGGCGCCTCGGAAGCTGGAAGCACAGTGCAGATCTCAGTGCGTTGGTCAGCTGGTCGCACGGGGTGGTGCGCGCCTGGCTATGTTTGCCTGCGCACCTGTTCACGAACAGTGATTCCGAACAATGTCCTGCTGTTGGTCCATATGTGTATGAACATGCATGCCAGAGTAAACATGAATGCTGCCGGATGCACCACCTGCTTGTGCGTGTTTGTGCATGCACTTGTCTCTCATGCATGTGTTACTGTGTTAGCAGTGTATCTAAGTATATGCCCAGGAGTGCGCCTTGGTTTCTTGTGCGACAGCAATGGGTTGAGTCATTAAACCCTACATTTATCGCAGCCTATCCGCAAACACAGCAGGGGCACTCTGAACTGCTTGCTGGGCAGTGGGTTTGACACAGTTTCTGGACCCATGTTCATCAGGTAAACTGCTGTCAAGCTCAGACACACACACACAAACACAAACACAAACACGGAGGCAAGCATTTGCATGATCGTTCCTTTTCAAAAGTGGACATGATTGGATTGAAACTTTGAAACCCAGGCTACCCGCGGAGACCGCGGATATCGCACAAGTTCAAGCTCCTCAGGGCATCACCACGTGAGCCACACAGCTTCCCATGCAAGATGAACATAATTATATATAGAAACAGTAGAAATATTACGACCCCTATACCACCACTGTATATACTAGTAATAGTTCACTCCTTACTGTAGCTATTTGACCAACACTCTAATGGATTGTACAGTCATTTCAATGTAAATAACCCCAAGGTTAAAAGCGGTAACCTAATGGGGTAGTAGCCATGTTTAGGTAGGGTTCATTAGCGCCTACCGATGGTATGGCTCAAGTGCATAGCGTAAAAGGGTTTGCACTTGCTGATTTTGATGGTGGGGAGTTTAACTCGGTTGTTTCCTTGTTGGTCCCCCCTTTTGTGTGGTTATCAGCCGTATTGATTCTGTGTTCTTTTGCTGGGAAAGTCCTAAACTCCTGACCAGGTAACTTAGGCCCCACGCAACCTCGTTCACATTTTCGCACTTTTCGCTGATTTCCTGTTTCACCTTTTATGGTACCAGAGGGTCTGTTGGAGGGGGCTGCTTTGAGCGCCTCCGAACCGGTTGCTGAAGGGAACCCGGAAGCAGTGGCGGAGGCTGCTGAAAGCGCTGAAGTCACTGTTGAAGGTAGTACTGGATTTAACTGGGCAGACGCCTCTGAAGACCCGCCCGTGCCGACAGCTGGTTTTCAAGTGGGAGGGGCTGCATCTAGCGCCCTAGAGGACGACGCCGACGAGGACTTTGACATCTTGAAGTTTGACGCACTTTCCCTTTTGGATCCGAAGCCGGAGGAAGTAGTCACTACTGAACAGTTGTTTGAAGCACTTGAGGCCGACCTCGATCCCACCGCCGAGCCAGCCGAACAGCTTGAGGCATCCGATCAAATCGAAGCAGAAAATAATCTCGAAGGTGATAACCCCGAAAATCTAATTCCAAAAGAAGAAATTGATTTTTCCAATAACCCTGATCAGGAAACTAGTGCTGAGGTTCCAGACTCCGCCGCAGATCCGATCTTAGGAAGCTCTCCATCCGTAGTTGAGCCAGATCCTAATTCGACATTTGCTCCGGTATACGTCCAACACCTTGGAGGGACAGCGGAAGAGGACGAAGTCCCACCGCCCCCAACATCACCGTTTCTTGAGCAGGAAGGGGCTGCCGCAGGCGCCTCAACAACTGGGCACGTCCAAACAGGCCATTCTCCTGCAGGACCGTCCAGAGGTCCCCGTGTACGTGGAACCAAAGGCGGGAAGAAAGCCCAGACCAAAAGGCTTATCCAGCGTTGGCAATCCGACTTTGATAAACTAGCTGACTTTCTTTGGAACGAGGCAGAATTCTGGCTCAGGTACGCCACTCAGAAGCAAGTGCTGAACTGATCTGGACTGTCCGTGTCTTTAGAGTCCTCTACAATCATTGTACGCTAAACCAAATCTTAGTCCATTTTGCTAATTCCTTTGCCCCTTATAGAAATTGGGTTTTTACCAACGGATATCGAAGAGGTGAATTGCATCTTGCTCCAGATACTGCTGCAAATACTGTGCTACCTGATAGGGATCACATTAACTTGCAAGCTTTTGGGGATCCAGATCCACCTAGATCCGTTTGGGACGACTACGATACCTATAGGGGTCCACAACCACAAGGTAAGGCAAAAGCCAAAGCTAGTGTGTTTACCCAAAATACTGAACTACCATCTGGATCCGAGCAAGCTACAGCATTAGGTGTTGACCCAGCATTAGATAGGGGTGTTAGTTCTTCTGAAAAAACCCACACTCCATCACCAAGGGGCCCACCGAAGGCTAAAGCTAGGCCTAAGCCAGTGTCTGAACCTAAGGAACCTAGTCATCCACCGCCGTGGGTGCCATCCCTTCGACCTGCAGGCCATCAACCCGCTCCGAAAGTTTCAGAGTCCGTAGCCAGTGTTCCGCCGCCACGTACCACGGGAGGGGCTGCTGAAAAGCGCCCTAAACCTGAAAAGGCTGAGCAAGCATCCGATCCAAAAGCATCCGGCGAAGCATCCGTGCCAGAACCGGCCAAGCCTAAAGCATCGGACCCCAAAGTTGCTAAGCCCCCTAAGGATAATCCTTTAAAAAGATTAGGACCCGCACCTAGTTATCCAGCACCACCGGTGCCTGTACATCGAGATTTCCACCAAACTTTAGGACCTCCTCCACAGCGGCCGCCAAGAGCTGCAACGCCAAAAGGAGAAGGGGCTGCAACAGCGATCCCTCCGCCACCATCTCATCCACCGCCATCGGCGGCTGACTTGGATAAGGCAGAGCGTGGGAGACCACGTGAGAGAGCTGGCACACCCCCTGCCCGAAAAGTTAAGGGTGGTAACATCGATAAAACCCCAGCTGCGTCAGCACCTGCTGCGCCTAAGCCAGTGAGCCGATCTAGATCACGGGTTCCAGCCACTCTCACCCCGAGAGCTGACGGTTCTTTTGCAGATCAGGACACTGAGGTGTTACGCCGTGCAAGGGGTGGTAACTTGGGTACCCCTAGTCTTAGTTCCCGACCAATAGCCCTAAGACCCACTGATAATAATTATCCTCCTGTGATAATAAACTCTGAGGGCACTTGGGTGCGTATCTCAAAGCCGCCTGGCTCTGTAGGAAGGGAACCCACAACTGTTCCTGTTGCCATTCCTGGCACTGCTACATCATCCGTTGACCCCCACGAACTTGCTGACGAAGTTTGGCGTGATCCGTCATTGGTTGGTAGCAACACCGCATTGGTATCCTCCCATAATACCCAGGTAATCCCGATCTCTGAACCTGAGGGTCTAGTTGCTGTAGACTCAGAACTTGTTGACGGGGTTGAAGAAGAAGAAGAGACTACAGTTCCTCCACCAAAAAGAAGGGCTATTGTTACAACAACTTCTTCTGGGCGTAGGCAGGTTTATCAATCTCGACGTAGATCAATTCCTCAACCCGAACCAACATCAACTGCTGCTGCGCCAGGTGGGCCTCCATCTGAGCCCGAGGCACCGGACGAGGACCCAGATCCCTCCGATCCAGGTGAACCAGAAGGCGAAGAGGAAGAGGATCACTCATCTGACCCTCCTGAAGCCCCGCCCGAGGGCGAGGAGGAAGTTGAGGTTGAAGTAGAAGTTGAGGAAGGGGCTGCTCCCTTAGCGCCTCAAGAACCCAGCACACCATCGCAGGCATCGCCGAAAGCTCCAACTACTAGAGGTAGTGTTAGTAGGTTTTTGTCACCCAGTGCAAAAGGTGCTGAACGTTCTAGATCTCGTCACAGGGACACAACAGCTGAGGAAGAGGCTCCAGTTGCCGTAACAACTTCTTCAACAAGAGTTTCAGGTACAATCCAAACCCAAATCTTTCGAGACGGCACCAAAGCCGAGGTTTTTGTCCCTGATATCCCAAGACCTAAGACTCCTCCAAAATCAATAGGTTCGCCGCCACCTAGATCATCATCCCAACCAGCTAAAGCTAAGCCGCCTCCACCCGGAGTTAGTGCAGCAAGTAGGTCCGCATCAGCAGTTCCACCCTGGCGGGAAGGGGCTGCACGTGCGCCCCAAGGAGGTCCACCAATCAAAAAGAAGTATAAGGCTCCTCCTAGACCTCCCTATAACTACTCCGTAACTGTTGGCCAAGCTTACGAGCCAGGTGTTGATCCAGATCCACCGGCGCCGACCGAGGAGGAACTCAACGCGGCCTGGGCACGTTCAAAAGAACGACAGGACCGAGATTGGGAAAGACACGTGGAGTCACTTGCCGATCGCAAACATCGCCAAGCACTAGAGGCATACCACCAATCGGAAAAGCGGAAGCAAAAACATAATAAAGTTAAGCCTCCTGCTAAACAACCTCCTGTTGTGGTTCCCCCTAGACCCGATCGTCCTGTGCCAAAAGCCCATAAGACCGCGTCACCAAAACCTAGTCCACCTGCAACACCAGTGTCGACACCTCCAACACCACCTCCGCGACCACCTAAGGCGACTTCTACATCAACAGCATCCGTCCCTACTAGCGGTAAGGCAGGTGCTGCGATTCGCGCGCCAGGGGGTAAAATAGATTTAGGCCCTTTAATCCGAGCTCGTCAAGAGCGAAGTGTAGGTGGCAATAATCTAGTCGTGTTCTTCGATTGGCACGACACCCTCGACTGCGCTAGAAACGCCCTTGGTGTGTTTGATCGTTCTATTGTGGATAAATTCGTGAACCTTGTGCAGCTCGCACAGGGCAGGATCGAGTTCCACATCGTCTCTTTCTCCGGCGTTGCCCGTGGCCACCAAACGGAAGAAGACGCGAACAATCTGGCGGAGTACTGTAGGTCACAGGGCCTCCCATTTAGGTCAGTGACTATAGTTAACGACCCGGTGGGTCCTGGAGGTAAAACACCCGTCCTCACATCTAGCGGCGCAAACATACATCTTGACGATCGTCAAGACGTCTGCGACGAGGCTGCACGCGCCAACATCTTTACGATTTGTGTATACAAGTCCAGCACATTGAGTTGGTGGCCTCAATTGGAAGGTGCGGTCAAGGACAAAGGGGTGGACTACTTTTTGCGTAATCACGCACCGGTGCCTTTGAGGGGAGATCAATTTTCCCGCCGTAGGAATTGACTTTCTTGTGGCCTGAGCTTCATCGGCATCCACTCTAGGCATCACCGGCGATTTGGTAGGGGCTTGAGCGTAAAATTCAAAACCAAATAAATAGCTCGCCCTTGTACAGTTTTGCCTGTCATTGTCTTTTCGTTTCGCCTGAGGTTGTGCCATCTGCACACCCAGTACCGCGTCTCTTTCGGCACAGCCGTGCCCTTTGGTCGTCCGTGTCTTGTCTTGTTGTTTCACTGGGAGGTGCTTGAGCATCCGCTCGCGCCAGGACCCATTCGTGCTGGTCCCTTGGTAAAAGATGCAATCTGGATTGACTCCACCAAGTGAGAGTTCAGGTGCTGATAGGTCTAGGAGTTCTCCAGAAGACCCTAAATTACCTAGTGGTACTAGAATACCTGCCGCTTCCACAATACTTGTTCCCCGAAGAGCATCTGGAAGTAACCTATCCCATAATAATCCCCAAGCTGAAT